CCCCCCCGCCTCCATAAAAACACAAACAAAAACCCAAAAAATCGAATTTCATCAATTCTCCATCCCGCTAAAATCGTCAATTCCCCCCTCTCGCAAAATTCATTTTTATTTTCTCAGTCTCCTCGACTGGGCGTGGTGGAAGAGAAGATGATTTATCCCTGTATCACACGGTTAACTGCCAGGATCGTCCGGGCTAAACGACCCACGGGGTTTCCTTTTCGTGTATCAACCGTAATGCACTCGGCTTCACGCTATTGTGTCTCCGTTAAAACTACCCCCTCCCCTCCCATCCCTCCCCCCCTCGTCGCGCTAATGTACAAGTGAGTTAAAGGGGGAAATGAATATCGCAGAGTACATACGTGTACCCTCTCCTCCCCTTCCCCCCTCCCCCAAACTCTGAATGTTTCGAGGTTCGGTAGAATAACTCTGCTGAAATTATTATGCGCTTTCATATACTGGCGTATAACTCCTGGTCATTAACCCCCCTGATGATCGATGGCCATTATAATATAGACACATTTTCTCTCTCTTCTTATTGTTCACATCGTGTCTCAGCGTACGGGCAGTACAAACCCCCCCCCCAAGTAGATTTCACCGGCCTCGATCTTTTCCTCAAGCTTTTGCTACATCGATTTGGTTTATTAATAATACAGTGATAGCCTGATCGATTCCAACGACTGTTGCCAGTTAGAAAGGGCCGGGGGGAGGGGGGTAAATTAATTGAAGGACGAAGCGATTTACCGTTGTTATCGAATATGATTATCATGAATTAAGGAGGAGATGTTTTTCAAGGGACACGAAATGGAAACATTAGGAGGTTTGTCGCGGCAGTTTGTGTCGTTTAGGGAATTTTTTAAGTTATATTGTCTTTTTTCTTTGTTGTAGGATGTTCCCCGGAAAATCATTCCTCAAAAAATTAATTCCCTGAACAGTGTTCCCCATATTTTCTGTTCTTTATTTTCATTTTTTATTTCTGCTCGATTTTGCAATTCGCTCACGAAAAATCATTCCTTGGAACAATATTCCTTATATTCTTATTTTTTGAGTTATGTTTAAGAAGTGGACGTTGTTCAATTAAATTTTGACCTGTGCTCAAAGATTCTTGGATTTGCTGTTGTAATGTCTGCGACTTTGGAGTCTCATGTTTATTTATATTTGATAATTTTTTCAGGGGAGAAGGTTTTTTTCATTTCGGGACTATTTTTCACAAACGGAGAGAAATATTCAATAGAAATTACGTATCTTTTCCGTAATTCCGAAGCGATTTACGGAAATTTTACGGAACTGTCACGAAATTTTTCCGGAGCGTTCCGTAATTTTTAGCTCAATCTCCCGTGAAAAAAATCCGATACCGTCACTTGGATTTTCTTAGTCGATTCCGTAATCGGTGACCGAATAGTGAGTTCCGTAATTATTACTGTGCATTTCTCTCCGTCCAGTTCTGTGTTGGGGAATTTCAGGCTATTACGAAGTGATTTATGAGGAAAAATAAAAATAAAGTATGGAAAATATAAAGAACAATATCAATTGTTTTTCAACAGCGCCATTTCGTCATCCTAAAAAAAAGGATGCACCTGGCACGTGCCCCAACAATACAAAACACAAAAAGTATTTCGCGAGAGTGAGACCCCCCCGCCCAATAACTATGCAAGAAATAAAACGAATTAGCCTTTAGTCCAGGGAAAACAGTTAGTATAAAACGCAAAAGGGCACTGTGTGCAGCCATATGGAGTCACGCCCCCGAGTTGTAGCAGCCTTATGTCACACAGTGCCTCGTATTTCCCTTATTTCAGGCGGTAGGTATGCATTACCGATTCAAGGGTGAGCATCGAGCCTGACATCACACCCCTCAGGGGCCTCACCATTCTGTGCCCACAGCCTTTTTCAGTTCTTTGAGGCACCAGGCACCTCTCTCTCCTGTGCCCTTGGGACAATCCGATGTCAAAAGTCGAGGGATAAGAATCGATGAAAAAAGGCGAAACGATACCCATCATTTGTTAGGCCATAACAATTGTCAAAATAGTTGTTGAGGTTTTTTTTGTCCCCAAAGTGTGCGTCTGTGAATCATTCCGAGGGAACTTTTGTTCGTTTTTATTAACACGAGTTTATTGGGCTTTTGTACATAACGTATAATTGTTTTATTCGTCAATTGTCATTGACAATTTATTTAACTATATATTAAATCCGATCGTGAATACATAACGTTCCTTACAGCTTAGGTTTATCGATCTAGATAATTTAGTTTTGGTTTGCTATACACGAGGCTATCTACAGTTTACGAGAGAGAAATAAATTATTATTTATAAAATGCTGAGTATTATTGGACTATACAAGTAAAAAACTGATGAATTCAGTGGCGAAGTGGTAATATTCGACATTTTTTAAATATCTTGAGTTGTCTGTCATCAGATCTTTTCCCAGAATAATTAATTACCAGAATGAAGAAATAATTAATGAATACTCTCTAATGACAAAATAAATATATTTGTATTACGTTCAGCCACTTCACTCCTGAAATCATTATTTTATTATTTATAAGAAACCAAACAGTTGTGATAATTCTCCAATGGCAATAGTGAAAATATTCGAGGAATAATCCAGCTTCTCTCACATTCATAAGACCAGATTATTTCTGACCCATCGAGTACTTCGCATTCTCTATTTACAGTGTTCATTTTCATACTTCACTACAAAATTTCACCTCGGATTTACAGAATACACTTTTATCTACATATCGTAAAACCATTGTTCGATTTCTCCATTCGAGAAAATTAGTTGAACCCACTAATCCGTGGTGCTCGAAATTAGCCAACATTATCAAATAATGATCAAGCGAAATCGTCAGTGGTAACATACCTTATTAATAAAACATCACGACGAATGTATCCTTCGTTAACTTCATTTCATCCAAACTGTTCGAAAATCACATGAAAATCGGATTAAGTCAGTGAGAGATCACTCCCGAGGATGAATATACATCTTCAATATTGGATTTATGAGTGTGAGTGTATTATGGGCGCGGCCATCCGTTACAGAATACGTACACACATTTAATATTCAATCCTTTGTTCGTCATCGCGCTTGGAACTCATTTCCAGTGGGTATATGTACATACTTGATGAATTCTCCTGTTCATTCTTTGGGTATGTACGAAAGCCGATGAAAGTGAGTGACAGATGGTCATTAATGTTCTGAGATATTTTAAATGGTTTCATTGTAATGGAGAGGTGCTACTGTTTTTGGTAATAATGGAGGTATTTTAAGAACTATTGAACTCGCTTCAGTGATGAGGAAAATTTTTCATTAGGTGGGTCACCATCGTTTTTTTTTAATGCGATCCCCTCAACAAGCGAAGATGACAGTCACTCTGACCGAGGTCACGAGTTCCGGGATTCCCCGCTGGCCATTTCTGGGGATCATTGCTCGGTTGATAGAACAGATTTCTGTTAAGTCGCAATCGACAGTTCATAGTTCTTCACATAAAGATGACTCATTCCTTCGTTTATTATCAGTAATTTCGCTTTTATAAAGCTTTCATTATCCACCAACTCTCAACTCGTCACTCTACACTGCCCTTCCTCCCACAAGGTAACGATGATCAGTCGATCAACAGTCGGCAGGACAAGGAATAATCAGTACTTCAAGAACACATCAAACACTTGATTAGACACTCAGCTACCTCCTCGAGGAGTTGGTCGCAGGTGCAGTGAACGCCCTCAGTCCACCCCCAGATCCAAGAGTATGAGACCCACCAACAATTGAAGATGAGAGTCTTCCCGATAGTCCAGAGGACAGCGAATCACTCGGCCTCCCAGAATTACCCGTTGGACATTTTTCGAGATGATGATGATGCGACCTGACAGCTAGTCTGCTCACGTGAACAGGAATTGGCACGACTATGCGAGGGCCGGCATTGGCCTGCTGTCCGTGAGCCGCATGTCGACCAGCGGAACCCGCTCCGCCGGTCGTCAGACCTGCCTTCACTCTCTTCCACTTTGCCCGGCGGTTCTGGAACCAGATCTTCACCTGGACCTCGGAGAGTTTGAGCGCGTGCGCTATGTGCGAACGCTCTGTCAGGGACAGGTATTTTTTGGCGTGAAATTCTCGCTCCAGTTCTAGGAGTTGCTCCGATGTGAAGGCTGTTCGTCTTCGGCGGCCTTTGCTGGCGTTCGCCGAGGCTGACGAGACTGACGAGTTCTGGGAGAGACCTGGCTCGGTGGCCACTCCCTCGTCGTCCGATTCTGGGGATATTCGACCGCTCTCGGAACCTGGAACGAGATAATTAAGGACTGAATTCAAGGTTTTTTGGGGTTTCATGAGTCTTTTCTGGGGTCTAATTCTGGCAGTTTTCGGACGATTCTGTTGGAGAATTTCGCCGCTTTCGATAGAAATGTTCAATGGACAATCTTCTATAGAGAAAATCAATGGGATTTGATTTTTCTGTACAACCTATTCTGTTGAGATATTTTCTGTAGAAATTTCTCGGCTCAATTTTTTCAAATTTTTTGGTTGGATTTCTTCGATTTCTATGGAAAAAGTTTCGATTGGGAAAGTTGTGTTGAAAGGTGAAATTCTAATGATTTTTTTCTATGAAACCTTGAAATAATCCTACTTCGTAATTTCTCCATATCTTATTTATCCAATTATCCCATAATTACTCGACCACTTAAAATTCCCGCCACCGTAATTTAATTCCAATGAAATAAACTCATTAAGTGGAATCTTGCATTAAAAAGCCCTGAAACCAGCCAACGTAACTTTTAAATCGCTTGACACATTAAAGACAAAGGACGTGGCAAACAACAATGACACAGCGTAACATACAATCGCATCATAAAATATTTGAGAGCCCGCGTCACCTCGCATTGCAGACTAACCTTTTTTTCCAAATCGCAGTACTCGAACAAATTACTTGCAACAAAGTTTACGGATATATCTCATCATAATTACAATTGGATTCCTTGTAGATTACACTTTAGAGTGTGAATTTCTGGAATTCAATGCTTGTTGATACTCTGGTAAAAGTGCGTGCCATCAACGCACTGTTATCAATTTTTAGTTAGTTCACACGGTAATTCAATTAATCTGTTGTTCATCTCATCAATATAATTCCGCGCTTAGAATATTGTAATCTCGTATTTTCAGCACTAAATTAAAAATTAAAACTTCATTTGGAATATTGAGTCACAGCTTCTGTTTATTCACATCAGAAATTTTGTATTTGGATATTAATATTATTTGTTCAAAGTGAAAAAATCGATCATCATTTTCACTATATTGCATTCAGATTCTCCTATCCTTAACGTCAAAAATGTGAGATAATCTCATAATTCTAGCTATTAATTCTAATCAACTTTGTTCGAAGAAAACCTTAGTAAACGTAATATTAAGAAAGTAGAATTATTCTATTTTCCTCTGACCTCAATAATTTGGATAATTATGATTCGTTTATTCATGTTTCATAGAATGGTATTCAATTCTCTTTTGCTTGGTAGGCAGGCTTCATGAAAATTCGACGCGAGACGATTGCACTCATGAAAACTGCCTTACTTTCTCCATTCGTTCGGGATATTCCCGATGCCTTTTTTAGAAAGAATGTTATCAACACATATACTCATCAATCTCCAATAAAATTAATTATCTTCTAAGTTACCAGACAGCACTGTTTGCGGTGAGCGTTAATCCTCAATTTACAAACATCATGATAATTAATTTAAAAAACACCGAACGGTAAATACTTATGCGTGTGATATAACTGCGATCACGTATATCGCGAACGACAGATAGTGAATGGTCGATCGTCAGCGATCGGTTTATTGATGTCTAGCCGAAGCCTAATTGGTATGCAGAGCGGATTGAAAATTTTCTGGGAAGCCGTCATCCATTCGTGACGTCATGGGTACCGTAACGCCATTACCCCCCTCGAATATGAGTCAGTCTCCACGAAAAATTGAACGACGATTATATTTACGGCTTATCAAATCCTCCGGATGAATTTTCTAAAAACAAACCGATAAAATTCATGGATTTTCGTCTCGGCTTCCTTAAATTCTCATAAAGACTTCCGGTGTGCACAGGGGGCCTGGATGAATGGAGCGACAAAATTAAGATTTACCTCGACTCGTTCAGAGAGACAAATTTATCCCGGAATAAGGGCACTGTGTGTCGTTTACCCGCGGAGAATAATCGATTTTCAGTGATAGAAATTCGAGGCATATGAGGGGCTTTGGTTATTCACGTCGTGTGAAGGAATAATTACCCATCGACACTCGCGAAGGCAGGGGCGGGGTGTATGGAAAGTGTAATTAAAGTAATTATCAATTGTAGATCAATATTTCGTCGTTATTTCACAAGAGAACGGCGCATTTGAATAAAATAATCTCACAATTTTTCTGTTCATTCGGAACTCTTAAATGCGAAATTATTGATTCCGAAATGAAATGAGCGACGGATTTGGTGGGAATAAAAATCTATTCATTTGATTCAAATGAAGTTTATTGTACTCGACAATTTTTTTAATGGATTTGTGAATGAAATTCTCACAATTTCTTAATAATTGTCGGATGTCTCCACCCCCCCACCCCCGTTCGCCATCTGTCGAGCTGTTTTTTTTCCACAATTTCGAGTGTTTTATTCATTGGTCATGCACCCCACAGTCTCGAACACGACATGGGAGGATCGAGTTTCCCGCAAAGTGCGTGGAGCGTCTAAAAAACTTGCGGAAGCCAAATCTCAACTGAGGAAAATCGATCATCGAGATCTCTGCATTCATGCGCAGTGAACTTAGCTATTCCAAGCGCATCAATTAATGAGGATGTAAATGAAGTGAATGAGGTCACGAGTGGGCTCCCATATTTCCCCAAGATCTCATTACGCTTTATCAACGAAAATCAGAGGCACCACTGGGAGATGAATGCGAAGGACCTGACGTGAATCATTTGAATCACAGAAAGGGGATTTTAATTGAATGTAATTGGGTTAATGAAACACCGATAGATAAGAGTAGTAATGAATTCGGGGCGCGAGTTTCGCCGCTAACGTGAAGCATTTCAGGTTGATATGATTAAATTTAAAAGTATAGATTTGGAATTAATGGAGTGACGCTTCCGTTGAATGATGCAAATTCCATTGACTTTTTACCCTTAAATTGAATTCAAAGTCTTTTTCCGGAAAATTCAGTCAAATTTATTTAACAATGTACCAAATTTCGCTGTATTTTCAAAGAGCGGGAATAATTGATCTAAAATGTACAGTTTCCCGTGATTTTTCCATGAAATTCAGAATTTTCAATGCCGAAATCCCTTGAAATTTCAGTGAAACTAAAATGTGATGACAATTTCCAAAAAGTCATCCGGAAATTTCAGGCAAAAATTTTTTACTTTAAAAATGAAAACTCGACAAATTTGTCCCTGTATTCAGAGATTCTCAATGAAAAAAAAAACTCTTCCCCAATGTTCCACTTTCCATCTGTGAATAATAATCCACAATTCCCCGGTTCCATATATATTACAACACAACCGATCGATATGTAAGAAAACAAGCCACGTGACTTGGCCACAAAACGATGTACGACAGGTGTGAATGCCTCAGAGAGTAAAGATCGTCATTTGCATTGAAAATCATGGAGCCTCTACACTGCAACCCCTCGATGAATTCTCTCAGAAATTGAAAACAATACCAACAACTTTGTCCCCACCGATTAATTGCACTTGTCCTCCTGATTAATCCAGTTGAAAAGTTTTTGCAATAGTTACAAAACTTGTTTTCCACGGGGGCGGGGGGGGGGGGGGGGAGGATAGTGGGGAATTTGCTTGAATGTTCATCAGCAAAAGCACCACTACAAATTCATCGATTTTTAACGAAAAATACGGGAGTGTAAAGACAGTCTAGGCAACCCCGTATGACCACCATCGGTGTAAGTTCACGCCGTACCGAGTATCACGCGGAAGTGACCCACCGAATCGAAGATATTTGAATAAATAAAGAGAGCATAATGTGCGCTACGAGAGAGGGGAGACTAAATGCACGGGTGATTCGTTCGTGTTATGTCTCTCGTGCTCCCTCAATAAGGATCTCGTGTCTCCCCTTTCCACCAAGAAATAGTGACCCGAGATGCAAATAAGCGTGGGCAATATTTCAAATCGAAAATGACGACTCGAACGTGCGGGATATCTCAAACGAGTGGAGAAAACTAGGTGATTTTCATCAGTACAATCGTCTTGCGTCGAATTTTCATGAAGCCCGCCTAACAAGCAAAGAGGATTGAATACCATTCTATGAAACATGAATAAACGAATCATAATTGTCCAAATTATTTGGGTCAGAGGAAAGGAGAATAATTCAACTTTCTTAATATTGCGTTTACTAAGGTTTTCTTCGAACAAAGTTGATTAGAATTAATAGCTAGAATTATGAGATTATCTCACATTTTTGACGTTAAGGATAGGAGAATCTGAATGCAATATAGTGAAAATGATGATCGATTTTTTCACTTTGAACAAATAATATTAATATCCAAATACAAAATTTCTGATGTGAATAAAAAGAAGCTGTGACTCAATATTCCAAATGAAGTTTTAATTTTTAATTTGGTGCTGAAAACACGAGATGACAGTATTCTAAGCGCGGAATTATATTGATGAGGTGAACAACAGATTAATTGAATTACTGTGTGAACTAACTAAAAATTGATAACAGTGTGGGCACGCACTTTTACCAGAGTATCGACAAACATTGAATTCCAGAAATTCACACTCTAAAGTGTGTTCTAGAAGGAATTGAATTGTAGTCATGATTTATTCGTATTGATTTTTCCAATGAGAACGATTATAAACAAATAATTGAAAAAATTTCATAGAAAATTAATAGAATACGTTTTTTTCTCCATAAATTATTCTATTCAGAGATTTTCTGTAGAAATTCTGCGGCTAAAATATCAAAAAAAATTTCCTTTGATTTCTTTTTATTAAAAGGAAAGGCAAACAAACTGAAAAAAAAAATTATGTCGAGGAATTTCTATCGAAAACGTTTCAATACTTAGAAATAATTTCTATTAGACACTTCTTATTTAAAAAAAGCGCAATAAAACTGCAGAACTGTTGACTAGAAATCCAATAGAATTTTCTACACAATATTTTTATTGTTGAAGGATTCAAAAATTTTCTTAAGAGTATTTTTAACTCATAAAGCATGATGACACTACTCTACTACGAGTTCCTGTCTAAAAATACTAATGAACAAATGAATAAATTAATTGTCCTCCATGGAACGAGCTAAATCCGTGAGAAAAATTCCACTAATATCAAATTTCAATAATCAAATTAGTTGAAAGAATTTACGGTATTTAATTGAAATAAAGAATTGCTGATGCTCATTTCCGCTATTTCATCATCTCTGCTTCCAATATATATTCTATTTCGAGAGGAATCTGTGATACAGCTCGCGGCATCACAATCCGCGTCAACTGGCGTGTCAACGATTTTCTTAACCCGTCGCAACCACTGCATTAGAACGACTACGTTCAATTATAACCATAACGTGATGTTGACAGATAATCGAAACTGGGGTTTATAGATAGATAGCGTGTTGCAAAAAGCCAAATTGGGAGAATGAGGGGCATGTATGATGCGGTAAATCAGGAAGTCGGTTTTGAAAAACTAATTGGATTTTCATTGAGAGGGAGAAACTGGTGGGTAATGACTGCTTAGAAGTTTTCCATTGGGGAATATTTGATTAATTTATAGTGGCCGGGATAATTAAGAACGGAAGTATTATATTTACACGGCTATTTCGAGTGATTATGCCGACAATATATTAAATTATGAATCACTCGGGTATTTTTTTGAATTCGTAATCAATGAATTAAGTTTACCTTTAGAATCGAGAATATTTATTACAAAAATATACTGTTGCAAATTTTCTACTGAAATTTCAAGGAATTTTGGCATTAAAATTCATAATTTAGTTCAATTATTCCGGGAAAATTAATTAAAAATCAGGAAAATTCAGAAAAAATAACGGAATTCCAAGAATTTTAAAGGAATTCCCTGAAAATTCATGTAAATTGTGGAATTTCTATGTTTCTGCCTATAAAAAACTGGGACTTTACTTGAATTTTTAGAGACACTGACATTGAATGCGATTTAGGAAAAAAAAATCATGAAATTTCAGGTTTCACTGAAGATTCAATAAAATTCCAGAATTTTAAGCAGCATAAAGACGAGAATTCCTTAATTTATTTGAATCTCCAATCTAATATGAATATTCATTGCCACTGGCCTAAAAATTCAAGAATATATTTGGCAGAATTTTCTGGTTCATGTTCAGGGAGAAATCTCTTTGATTTTTCCACAAAATTCTGAATTTTCAGTGACGAAATTCCTTGAAATTCCAGTGGTAATTAAATTTCCGAAAATTATACCGGAAGTTTCAGACAAAAATTGTTAACAGTGTAGTCTATAATTTTATGAAAACTTCGTGAACTCACCGTGTTGAGATTTTGAGAGATCTTGAACGGGCGAGAGACTCCCCTCATCCTCGCTATCAGTGAGCCCGCTGGGTTGGGCGTCCCGGTGTCCCGGATACGCAGCCCCCTGTAGATGATTGAGACTCAGATTGAGATGATGGGGCAACTGGGCCTGATGGCCCTGATGGGCAGGATAACTCGCCGACAGATGAGGCGGCAGGATCGGTCCACCCGGCACACCTCCACCGTACATTCGCATTGGCAGCCAAGCGCTGTACAAGCTCAGTGGCATCGCGAATCCTGGATCAAATTCCCTCACCAATTAATTTGCATTTCATCTTCCCGATATTTCGTTTCAAAACAAGACAATTTTTTTTATTCTCTCTGAAGCCCGAGAGTAATCACTAATTTTAGAGAATTTTATCAGTAATTATCATTATCATTAATTGAACATCAAGAAACAATTTTGATGAATAATCATCAGCAATATTTGACATTTCGTTGGGAAGTTGTTTTTTGTCGGAACCACTAAGGTAATTGCCAGTGTTAAAGACCTTTATTGATGATTATCGCCTTATTAATTTAACATCAAGAAACAATTTAGATAAATGATCGTTAAGAATGTTCGATATTTCATCACCTCTCGCGTAGAAAAAAAAATCGTATAAAAATCTGTTCAAGTAATTTTCAAGAACGTTCAATTAAATATTCATTCAATTATTCAACGTTTAATATTTCTTTTAAAAAATCTAAACAATAATTAAACAGCGGTTTTGATTATCTGAACCCACAAAGTCATGACCAATTTTAAAGAATTTTAATCACAATTATCTTTTCCATGAATGACGTTAATTGAACATCAAGAATCAATTTATTTACAATTAAGAATGTTTAAATTTCTGTCGTTTACCGGAGAATTTCCCAAATTCTATTATGAAAGTAATTGATCAATTGTTTTTTGTTTAACACGATTGCGTCCATAATTAACAAAAAAAAATCGTGGGCATAAAAATGAATGGCTTTACAGCTATTTCTTTACTTACCCGGCAATGCACTGGTGGCCGTCGCGAAACAATGCTGCTGATACAAAAGTTCCCTCTCCCTGTCCCTCTCACTCCCCTTCCCATCCCCATTCTTATCGCACCAATTATCCTTCCTCTCGCCCCCAACAACCTGCCCTCTATTTCCAATCAAGCTCTCAATAGTGAACGGTCTGGGTGACGGCTTCACCGAACTCTCCATGGACTCCACCTCATCACTCGCCGATCCCACATCCAACTCGGTCTCCTCCATCGGAGGTGACTCCATGTTGAGGTATATCCCTAGAAAACAGGTTTTTCGTACGATTGTCCCCATGTTTTTCATAGATGTTTAGGATATTTTGCAGCTATTGAAAAAAATTCCAACTAGCTGTAGCGCACAGTTTAGGAGAAAATAAACAGTGAAAAACGGTTCTTACGATGTTCTTAAAAAACAAATCCGTTGTAGATTGATAAATTCCGAATACCGTGAATTTTTTTGTGAAATTTTCTAGTGCATAATTTTTGACGATATTCAACTCTAAAAAATTTTAATTTCGTGAAATCGTTTCTTAATTGATTCAAATAAATAATTAACAAATAATGTCTTAATTGATTTGAAGTGCAATTGTTGCCTTCATCAACAGCAAATGAGGATAGAAAAACTCAGTAACTTAAGAGAATGCAATAAATTGAGCAATTTATAATTTTTCCGGAAATTCATGGGGACTAACTTTTGGATGGTATTGTCTTGGGACCTTAAGGTTGTCATGGATGTCCCTGACAAAATACAATTTTTTAATGCTCAAAACAAAATAAGCCTTGCACACACTCTTATCCAATTACGAACAAATTAAACATTTCTCCAAAAAATTCAGCTGTCAGTTGAAATTTTTTCCGGGACTAATTTTTGGTTGATATTGTGTCTTGGGATATACCTTAAGGACAAATTTAAAACTCAAAACTCATATTCTACTCCAACTCCATAATTCGAACTCCTCTCATTCCTCGAACTTCACTTTTTTCGCGAAAAAATCACAATTCACTTTTCACTCAAAAATCGTACCGCGAGGGTTTGAAATCGCCAGCCTGTTTTTCCCGCGGAAATCGAATTTTTCAAATTAAAAATCACTAGACGCTTTGGATCGGGAGAAATTGATGCGAGACACGTGTGAGTGGCTCGTCGTCGAGCAACTGCCGCGGTTTCTCGTCGAGTGGAGTCCACGGGTGCTTGCCCCCCCTCCCCCCCCCACTCTGCGCCCATGCAGGGGTGCCTGGCATCGAGTCGCGGTGGGCGTGGCGATTCCCGGAAAATCCCCGCCGCCGATTGGACGCAGGCGGACCAACGACGTCACGGTTTTGTTGCTCTTCTCCTGTACAAACACGAGTACAATTCGTTTAAAAGTCGTCGGGGTTGCCGCCATGTTGGTCCTCAACGCTTTCGCGAAAGAGTGAGATGGCGGTGGGGGTGGCTGGGAGGTACACATTTGCAATTGTCGATGCTCGTTCGGCCGCAATTAGGGACAAATGGTGTTCACATTTTAGTGTGGGGGGAAGGGTGTCACGATAATCTCGGCCTGAATTTTCGCGATGGGCTGTTTGCACGGAGAAAATTCGATTTCAAATTTCTCAATTATTTAAATGAATTCAATTGTGATTTAAAATATTTTTGCTAGTGAGATTGATTGCATCATTCATAATAACTTTTTAATAACTCCGTTTAACCGGAATAATTTTTTTCGTTGAATTTTTTTTCGTTTAAAAAAATTTATTCTTTTTCGATTTTTTTATAATTTTTTTCGTTAAAAAATTATTTTGGAAATCAATAATCAGGGAAAGGTAAAGAAAAAGAATTTTTATGTTGGGGCAATATTAAATTCAACGAATCATTGAATTCAATTTAACAAAACATTATCATGGATATTAAAAATAATTAATAATAAATAATAAACACTCATTTATTAACAAAAAAATTTATTGACTACAAAGCAATTCCTCACTTCTTTTCAACAACGTAGTGATCTTCCCACGAATGCAAATGATCTCTGAATTTCGAGTAATTTCTTTGCATGTAGAAATTATCAGTTACATCATCAATATCGGTTATTTATCATGTTTTCTGGTTTCTGATTAGGTTGAGTTACTGAATTATTTACACATGTAAATGAATGTTTATCCGAGAAAAATTCCAATCTGTTTCCATCTTGTCTAATTAAAAAGTCTCTCTTTTCCCTGAAAGAAAACAAATACCGGGGAGTCATTAATTGAGGGATAATAACATCAATTAAAACAACATTAGTGATCATTTTTAGAACTTTCACTGGATAATTCAACTGAACTCTACAATTCCCACTGATTTTTCCACAAAAGTTCGAGTTTTAAATGACGAAATGACTTAAAATATCGGTGAAATTAAAACGTGATAAAAATTTCAAAAAAGTGTTTCGAATTTTTCAGCCAAAATTGCGTAAAAGTGAAGATGAACAAAGCAACTTCGGAGATTTCCTTCCACTGAGAAAAAAAAATAAACTTCATTGACAATTATTAACAGTTGGAATTTCTCTGAATTATTTACATAAGAGAATCTCAAATTTGAAAAAAATTGAAAAATAGTGGCGTTCATTAAAGGTCACGTCTAATATAATTATCTCATAATTCATCATAATTGTAATATTTGAAGATGGACATGGACCACCGGAGTGACTGGGCTTGAGGAAAAATCCTAAAAAAATTAATTCTTCTCCTACGAAAATTATTCTTTGGCAAAAATAATTATTTTTCTCAGTTTCCCTAAAATACATTCCCGGACATGTTGAAATAGCACCTAGTAATCGAACCAATCAACGGTAATGCCAAGTAATTAATAAAAATTTCCACGTGTGATTCAGGGGAGTCGATTACCGAGGCTAATGTGGGTTTCGAGATCACACTTTTAATGCGTTCTTTCCCGGTGATTAAAGTAACGAGGATTAGTTAATCGGGGTGGTGCCTCGGGCGTCGTTATTTTGACGCTCGTTAGTTGCCCGACACTTATGATTGGGTTCAACTTAAGTGGGTGCCATGTACACGTACGTCGACATACGTGACTTTAACAAAGAAAATTAGCCTTGATTAATTGAACGCTTGCTAAAAATACTGAGTGGGTGATAAATGAGGAATTAATCACTCTTCTGAGCATTATTTATTTATTTATGTATTGCATTGGAAACATGTTTGCATATAAAACGTAGAAAAAAAATTTTATTGAGATATTTTCTATATTTTTCCATTTTTTTTCACTCGATTTTTCTTTTTCTTCTTTTTTTTTTCATTAAAAAAATCCAACGCAATATTTATTGCATGAAACATGCTATGAATTCCGTTAAAAATGCGTAAATAAATAAATAACTCAGTATGTTTAATTTATTGAAACCATCTTCCAACAAAAAAATCTCCAAAACTATTTTTTAGCCAAAATTTTGACTAAAATTTCACTGGAAAAATTAATATTTGAAATTGAGACTCGAAATGTTAGACACTGCAGTCTCTGCAGTGATGATTTTCCAGCGGAAGTTTCCCGGCCCTAAAATATCCGTCAGAAGGCATGTTCAGCCCGCGGAAATCCCCAAAAGCGTAATTAAACTCAATTTAATGTTCAGAAAATTCCAGCCACAAGTGTTGCCTTTCTGGATATTATTTATTCATTTATACATTGTATTAAAAACATATTTATATATAAAATGTCCAAACAAATGTTTTATTGAGAGATTTTCTATAGAAATTCGTTGACATGAATTTTTCATTTTTTGTTTCCTCTTTTTTTTGTTCTTTTTTTCATTAAAAAAATCGAACACTAAATTTATTGCATGAAACGTTCTACGAATTCCGTTGAAAATAACTAAATAACTCAGTATATTTAATTTTTTTAACCATCTTTAAAAGAAAATCTCCAAACCCATTTTTCATCCAAAATTTTGACTAAATTTTCACTGGAAAAATGAATATTTGAAATCGAGACACGAAATGTCAGCCACTGCAGTCTCTGAAGTGATGATTTTCCAGCGGAAGTTTCCCGGCCCTAAAATGTCCGTAAGAAGGCATGCTCACCCTGCGGAAATCCTCAAAACCGCAATTAAACTCAAATTAATGTTCCAAAAATTCCATCTAAAAGTGTGAAAACCGAACGAGAAATTAACGTCCGTTTCAGTGTGTCTCAACACGTTATAAAAACACTTTGTGAAAAAGCCGAGAGTGTCACCAGCCGCGAGTGCCGCTCCTCCTACATTTTATGAAATCAAATAAAAAATACTTCAGTCGGCAGCGGGGGAATAAACGGTTGTGAGTTTGTATCGTAAAACGGCGCTCAACCGTGTACAAACGGAGTCTTTCGGGGTATTGGGGCTCTACGGCACGCTTTCTTGAATACCGAAAACTAATTCCCCGAAATTCCAAAATTCTGTAAAACGTAAAGAGGAGAAAAAAAAATCAAACGAAGGGTTGCGCGTCGATAGTTAAGGACCGGGCACTTATACAAATGTTGAAAATTGAATTTTATGTTCTGTTCATTTTTATGGCATTTTCATTGGCTTTGGTATACGGAGTAAAAAATTACGCATGAGTAAACAAAAATAAACGACTAATAAAATTCCTTACGCGGAGAGAAAATTTGGGTAAAGATTATCTATAGAAAATCGTTATGAATTTTGCTGTACAAAATTCAACAAAAAAATGGAGGATAGGGAGAATATTTTATGATTCGTTCGGCAAAAAAAACTTATCTGTGAATGCAAAAATTATCCTCATATGCAGGAGGCAATTTTTCTCTAATTTTCCACTAAAATTTCAAGGAATTCCGTTATTAAAACTTCGCGCCTTGAAAAAATCAATGGAGACCGTAAATTCCAGTTCAATTATTCCATGAAAATTCAGCTAAATAGATTACTAAATTTGTAATTAATTAAAAGTTCAGGATACTTTGGCACTAAATATTCAGATTTTGCTAAAAAATTTGAAATTTTATGATTTTTCCGCTTCAAATCCAATTAATGTCGCTCTTGATTCAATTATTCAACTTCATTTTCCATTTCCTTCTCAATTCTGTGTCTGAGATCAATAAAGAAAAGTCAAAAATAGTCCTCTCAAATAGTCATCAAGAATAGAAATAGAAGAGTAAAATTTTTATGAACTATTCCCGCCAGATCGACAAAAATGAGGATTCAAATTGTCCAGGAAAAAAAATCAATTCCATCAGAGACCTGAATCATCAATACTTAATGACTCCTAATAATGGATAATACGAATAATTCAGCT